CGTCACTGAATTAACATTTAAACACCGCAAATCCTTGACCTCTTGTGATTCCAATGAGGCCCTTAAGGTGGGTCCAAGCCCTTTTTTGATGACCCTTTGTGCTTCTATGTTGCAAAATCCTACACATTCAATCAAAGTACAAAGACTGGGAAGAGTGGGGTGTTAATGGGGCAAACATGTCTTTTCAACAAGTTATAGTAAGGATAATCTGGTCTTGATACTATCTCATGGGAGACAGTTCAACAATGATACAACCTCTTCTAACATCACTCCATCCATCAGCTTGGAGCCTTACAGATGTAACTTATTTAGAAATGTTTGTTGAAGTGATGTTGCTCTTTGGCTCTGTGGTATAAGAATTTCGCGGTGGATGGTTAACCATGCATGACTTTGACACTGGAGATCTGAGATTGTGTCCCAGATGTGGTTAGGGCTAGGCAACTAAAACAATTGTTAAAGGTTAGATAAAGATTGTGGTCTTGGTTAAATATTGGAAAAAGTCAACTCAGTGATACTGTAACTTTGCAGATATGTTCAATACAAACATTTCATCATTATGTTGATATAAAAACATACAAAGTGTATTAGCCAATGCAAAGTAGTTGTATATAAAGATGATTTTATAGACAGTTCTCAGCCAGCTCCTGCTTTATCTTGTAAGTATTTTGATGTGGCAGCAGGATGTTCAAAAAATAATGTTCTGCAGTTGTAAAGTCGGATGAATGCAGGACTAATGCATAAAAAGAGAGTTTCAGAAGTTGCTTGAAGTTAACTTGAAGCACTCTTACTGGCACCTTACTGACATTTTCTTCCAAAATGATGTAGGAGATATGAGCACTTTGGCTATTTTCTGCTTTACCATCAATTGTCTGCAGCTCAGCTTGTCATCTGGCCAAAGCTCTGTAAGTCTGTCGGCTGAAATTTTATTGAAAATCCCTCACAAGGTGTCCCCTTTTGCTCTCTTTTTCGTGGCACCATTTTCAAGTTTCTGAAAGTTTTGGGAGCAATTGTGATAGAGAAAAAAGATAGCTGGAGTCTGTGAGACAGCAATAGGACTTTGGGAAAGCTCCCATTAGACATTTCGTCAGCAATACACAGCCTTTTCATCCACTGAAAGCAGAAGGGCTCTTGCCGCTATGGAGCAGTGTGGATAAGTGTTTCTGTTTGGCTCACGCTCAATGAAAATGTGCCTTTGCCTTTTAAGTGGTTGACGTGGTTTCATTCAGTCTTTGTTTTTTTCTTATTTGGAGAGGTTACTTCATGAGTCACAGAGGACTCTGGAGGAGGTGAAGGAAAGGTTCGAGCATGGCTGGTTGATACAATGAAGAAGACTAAAACTGTGCAAGCATTTAAGGACTGCGTATTCTGTCTTTACCTACTTAATCAACCTTTCTTAGGTTTAATCCCTGGAGAATACATGTCCAGCCAGGGTTGCTCTTTAAACTCCACAGCTGGTTATGTCTTTGCTTCCGCTGCTACCCTTGGCTTCTTTCTGTAAGCTGGTTTTAATTCCTTTGTTTGACTTCAATTTGATTCTGGGTTCCTAATTAAGATTTCAAACAACTAGGGTTCCACTTTAATGTTTTGTTTTCCAGGTTAGCCTGAAAGGATACTAAACTTTACCATAAAGCCTGACCCTCGCCCGAGGCCTCACCTTCTGGTCAGAGAACAAGGCTGTACCCCTTTCTGACCCAGCACACATCAGCGTTTAAGTGGACTAATGAAATCAGACCTACTTTTAAAAAAACTGCACCCACTGAGATCAAGCAGGTGGGACTTTATTGTGGTGAGAAGGTCATACCGTAGGTTACCCGCTAGCACTACAACCAATAAGAGCCTGCTCTTCTGAGGTCTCAGCTGCAGAGACCCTGCAGTGGAAAGAGGCTTTAATGACCTGTTGTAAGGACCCCTCACTGTAACCCATTATCAACTGCAGGAAATGTGTGTTTTGGAGCTTTACACCTATTTTTTTCAAGGCTGGTGCCAGTAGACAGAATTTCCTGTGGATAATTATCACATTTCACGTAGTAAAACTTTTTTTTGTTGTTCGTTTTGATGAAACTCTTTAGTGCCAAGGGGTCAAGAGTGAGTTTGAGTTTGAGTAGGTGGAGCTTTTTTCCAATATAACATGACCAAGTCTGCTGTACTTGTGCAGAGGGGTGCTTGGAGCTAAACACATGTTCGCAATAACAATGCTAACGTGGTTTTGTTTAGCAGATATAAAGTTAGTAAGTTATCTTAGTCTAGTCTACTAATGATGATAGACGATAACAACTACATATAGAGATATTTCCCAGGATAAGTGACAACTTGCTTGCCTGCTGGTAGTATATGAAAAGTCAGGGGTTCATCCTCTGGGGACAGTACATTCTATAGTTGTTAAGATCAGTAGTTTCTTGACCGCTCAACATCAGGTTCTTATGATCTGGATTTTGATCGTTAGATGTACTAGTCACAAGGTCACTGCCATACTTCTCGGTAGCATTATTTTCTTGCATAAAAAAAACAAAAATCGACTTTCGACTTTTAATTATGAACTATAACCTCACTTAGCGGAAATGTCTGAGGTGGTACCATAAGTCTGTTGAACAAGATGAGTTTTTCCAGAACCGGTTTACAGCCTCCCACCGGTGAGATGCAAGGGGACTTCTAGAGAGGTTATTACACTAAGTAGGCTCTCTCAGGGAAAAATAAAATCCTGTGTTTGCATGCACATCAAACATTCCACTTTGTTTTATTCCCATGCCTTGTAAAAAAGATAATAAAGACTGCATATGCGAGCCAACATAATCTGGATATCCCTGGTCTGATTCAATTAGACATGAGAGGGCAGACATGGCCATTTAATTCAACTCACAAACACATGCAGCGCAAACTAAGTCTTGACAATAAGGCTGACAAAGGCAGAGAGTGCGGGAGAGGAAGATGCACTGAGTGTAGGGGGTGATGAAACGCAGTAGCAACAGAGATGGACAGAGTAACCCAATAGCCCATATATTTACAGACCCACTTTGAAATTCCAGGCCTAGTGAGTCACTTTGCTGTTTTTAGTGCTGTAGTGAGGGCGGGGGTTGGGGGGGGGGAATTTAGAGCTGTCGGTCAGTGTGTCAGACTGTCAAACTATTATTGCCGCCAAAGAGGTCAAGGGCACACTCACCTCTTTAATGTTTAGAGGGGAGCAGAAACAACAGAGGGTCTGGGGCAGACACAAGTCCAAAGGAGGCATTTTCTGCTAGAATAAGTTTACTTTATTTCTTGACCAAATATCACATCACCCCTTCTTTTTATAAAGCACTGTTGACATGTTGATTTATAGATATATTATTAAATCAAGGCCAATGAATTTACAGTGTATGAGGTAAGTAAAGGGCAATGACACACATGTGGTATACGACATCGTCAAAACATCCATTCCTTTCTTTACTTTCCATGTCTACTTTGTGGAACCGCCATGTTTCTACAGTAGCCCAGAATGGACAAATCAAAAACGGGCTCTAGATAGGGCTCACAACCCTAGTTTCACCTACACACTTGGAAGGGGAGGGTGATACGAGTGGTTTTCAGATGGTTGCAACCTGCAACTTCACCACAAGTTGCCACTGAATCCTACACACTGGACTTTCAAGTTAAATCAACCATTTAAAAAAAAAACTTATCTGAAAAATGCATTGTCACAAAGCTGAAAACAGGCCTCTTGTTCTTAGATCACGAAAAGTTTACATTTTAGAGATACATGGTTTTAACAGGACAGCAACAATTTGCTCTACAGATTGGGACATGCTAGCTACTGAACCTTGACTACTTCTTAACATACGGCAAGTCAGGTGCATGCTACAGGTGTCTAATGGGACACGCACATGATGCAACTGTAACGCGCCAGTGTTTTCCTTAAGTGAAGCTCTTTTCATGCAGTGAAAAAACTGACTGCAGTTGGGTTCATTTACAAGCTTGGAGGGAATCTTGGGTTGCTCCTGCAGAGTCAATATAAAGTGTAAAACTAAATCAAAACACATAGTTTGGAACTTAACTGTAATTTTAACCCTGGCCTTGTGAGACAATTTTAGCTGTCATTCAGCACAGAGCACTGCTGTAGTCACGGCTGCCATATAAGCCATGTACTGTATACCCTGATGGTCGGGAGGCGAATCCCTCTCTGGAGTTTTTATCCTCCCACAATCCCCTTTGATGCCCTAATGATTGCCTACACTGCCATAGTGAAAGCTTGAGATGGAGAAACCCGTGCACCCTGCCATGATACCAACGTGGTAAATTCCATTGCTGTGATGTATAATAGTATGTCTTGGAAATAGGTTTTTAACCAGTTTTTTGAAGATGTTTGGTGCTGTGAAGAAATGGAAAGCTACCCACAGAAGTTTGGGTGGTGCTGGAGCCAAATTAGTTTTCCAGGTCCAGAGATTAGAAATACAACAGGGAGATCCCTCTTCTGCTGCTCCACTGATTCAATTAAGAGTTTAAGCAGGCATTGAATTGATCATTGTTTATTCTTCTTACCTTCCGCTGAGAGCCCTTGTACGTTCACTCCTTTGGCGTCCAGGAAACTGAGGCAGGCGTCCACATTCTCGATCTATGGAGAAGACGGCAGACGGTCAGCACAAAGGACAGACACAGCAAGAATGTGACAACACTTAACATTCAATGAGCCTAAATGTCTCAGGCCAGAGGGCTCAGAGGACGGGGACGATCAGCGTTATTACCCATAAAGCACATCATTGTGCGGTTATTACCCGACCCCCGCTTAACCCTGGCACCAGGCTGCATGACATACTGACCGCAGTGTGACGCCACCTACACAGCCCGGGGTGCAGTGCGCTATCGCATGTCACACACACGCCCATATACATCCACACTTTACATACAGACACTAGAGGGAAATATACGGTAAATTCACATCCACGCACACACCCAAACACATTTGCACATAGGCACAGGGCGTGTGGGTCGGTGTGGCCCCACTTGAGGCCTTTCACAACATAGCCAACAACTGTCACCCCTGCAAACTGGTTTCAGTTTCACAAAGGCCCACTGAGGTTGCAATTATTAGGGGGATTTTTGCATTCCTTGACAGTGGCTAATGGGTGGCTTCATTTGCATGGTGGCAAGCGGCCAACGCCCCTCAGGAGGTCTGTTATGACGAGTTCAAAGGTCAGAGTGGTCGGCTTTAGAGCAGTGTGCCAAGGCCACACAAAGGGTAGGCTGGGGGAAGACGTCCAGCAGGCAGTGATGATTCATGAGCTGTAAGTCCACTTAGCTCTCCGCAGCTCTCTCTCTCTCTCTCTCTCTCTCTCTCTGTCTTTTTAATGCTCTCTCACTCAGTGTCCCTGTATCTCTTTATTAACAGGAGGGAGATTTTGTAGGAGCTGAGCATGATAATGAGTCATTTGCTTGCTTGCTGATTCTTTCTTATTCCCACTGAGCTCTACTCCATTGTCCTCCAAGGCTTAATAATGTGCATTTCTGTGACATTTTATTCAACTGAGAGTTCGCTCTGTCTTAATGTAGCGAAAGCCAGAGGAGATGGGCGATGGTTTGATCTGAGATGAATCTGTCCATTGCTTGAAGTCCTTTTCACCATACTATTTAACTATCACAAACAAATAATTTGATGTGGTTTTCTCCCACTTTGCATGAGAAATGACATGCAAGACCTCCTTTGACTTTATATATCACAACAACGACAACAGAGAGAATTGTTTTACTGTATATTTGCATGCAATACCTTTTATTTCTACAACCAAACAAATCTGTCCTGATCCCAAGTAAAACCTCAATTACTGTGAAAAATTCAGTTCAAACATAAAAGGGCAGTTAAGTCTCAATAGCCATGCAGATGGTTTTGATTTTATTTACTATTGCTTTGAATTTTCTGCTACCACCCTAATACAAAGAATATGAATGTAATCTTTGTTTGTGGCGGACTGAAAAAATTTATCTAACAGAGTTATTAACAACTTTCAAGATACAGTACTTATTATTCCACTGGAGCTACTTTCCACATCTGGACTTCGGTCAGCCAACTCACATGGAATAGATCATATGTGAATGTAGAATATGTACAGCGTTGATGTTTGGCATCTACGAGGATGTCACTCCCCACAAGGAAGCACCAGGCTCAGCACAGAAGAGAGACTCACGGCTAGGTGGACTCAGGTGGAATCTGACTTTTGAGATGTTAAGAGACGGCGGCAGCAGCAAGTGCAGACTGTCCTCCCAAGGAAAACAGCAGCATAATTTATGACAGCGAGTGCCCCAGAAGGACATCTGTTTATATTCAAGTGACAAAGCTTGATTATGTTTATTGTGTTGTATTGTGTATGTTTATTATAAGGTCCCCCAACCCTAACTAAGACCTCATTTCAACCCAAACCATGATCTCTCCATAAACCTAAAAGTGGGTTTTGAAACCAAACATCCACCAGATCATAAAACTAATTTCATATTTTTCAACATTAGCTATGTTTACATGGCGATTATAATCGAAAACATCCAAACGGAATAAAAATGCAACATATAAAGACCTCCATAACAATAAACAGGCCAAAACCTATTGAAATATCAGTTGGTTTTAAAGCTGATTAATGCATGGCTTCCTTCTTTCTGTGGATGCCCTCAGTCTTGATGTCTTGATTTCAAGCCGAACTGGACCTGCTGAGAGTTTGTTTTTGATACAAACTCTTAAAGAACTGATTATTGGATGCCTAGATAGTCGAAAAATAAGAGTCCAAGAAAAAATACAGTATACAGACCAAAGTATTGAACAAATTAAACTGAATACAACCTCACCAACTTCCTGGACAAATTCATCCCTTTTGCTCATGTTACACAGCTGTTCCAATTCTGCGTCTGTATGTGTAAACACCTCACCGGATCAGATCACATCCCATGTAAACAGTTGACCTGAAATCTTCAATTGGAATGATGTTAATCAATGAAAGAAGAAATGAAAAAAGTCTGAATGTAACTGCAGCTACAGGCATAAAAGCACAGACAAAAGACTGATAGCGGTGTCAGATCAGAAAAGGCTTCTATGTGTTCAGGTTGTGAACAAACAGCGTATTTTGAAAGAGTGAACAGAACACTGGTCTGCACATTCACACTGTCCAACACAACCACATCCACAACTACAGGCCTCAGAGCAGCTGCACTGTGGATCAAACACTTTGCTCAAGGGCACCTACAGTATAACTGTTGTTGAAGAGGAGCACCTCCCTCCCTGTCACTTTCTCTCCACAGACTGATATGTTTACACTGGTTGTCTCAACAGGGAGCCCTGTGGGACAAGCAGTCGCACACAGAGCCTCTCCATCTGCCTGACACAACTCGCTACCTCCCACTTCCCGACACCGCACGCATTCCCACAGCAGGCACCAAACGCCCTCACATGTGGGCTCCCACATTCTCTTCAAACATGCGGCACACACAGACTGACACATGCATGCCCGGTGCTAGCTTGTTTGATTATCCCACACAAACTCTCAGAAGTTTGTACGTGGAGCGACATGTGCTGAACAGCGCTTGTGAATGCTCATTACTTCCATCTTAATTAGACTGACCACAAGGACGATGTAGGATGTAGCAGTTCTCCCAAAATAAACAGCCTATAGGCACAGATGATATGTAATCACCAGCATTTGCATAATAACAGCCATTTTGTAATCAAGGGACAACTCAATTAGGCTCATTCAGTTCAAATATTTACAATAAAACGCTTGGGAGGCCTTGTAGCATTTTGCATCTGTTGCACAGGCAGTGGAACAGTGTGTGTTTGAAGGTTGGTGTAATAGCTGATAAAGACAAAAGAGAGAACTCATAAACACACAGTAAAGCTCTGTAGTTGGAGATAGAGCTCTGTCTTTTTTAAAGGCATCTCTGCTGAAACCCTTCTTCCTCCAAGCCTTCAAGTGACACTGCAACCAGAAATTCTGAGGCTTTTAGACGAAAACCGCTGTTTGTTTTTAGTCGGCCTTAACTCTAAAATGACGCAAACAAGCGGAATAATGATTGAAGGCGTTGATGACGGCGGGTGCATTAATGTTCCGCAGGGCTCTGGCGATGTTTAACTGCTAGTTTGTTGGGCGGTTTGGCTTTGTGGCATCCTGTAACAGCTTCTCGAGAAACCAACATCATTTATTTTTCCAATGCAGGCTGGCATCAGACAGATCCACAAAAGCCATTAAAAGCAATTTGGAAAAGGGCATTTTGATGAGGCACACTTCACCCAATCACTGGGTACTTAGAGCAGGAAAAAGGGAGTGCATTTCGAGGAGTGACAGGAGAGCATGTGTGCAACATGCAGTGCGGGTAGGAAGGTTGCCACTAAGCCTGGAAGAATAATGAGGGGGAGCTGTTAAGTTTCTGTGATTATCAGTTTCAATTAAGCTATGTTTCAATTACAGAGCCACAGTACAAATCAAAATATCACGTTCCAACTGACATAGGCAGCAGAGCGGAGAGACGCATGGCTGGGCGACACAAAACCGGAATCCCTGCTTCCACCTGTCCCCCACCATCTCCCCTGAAATCACTGATGAGTTTGCATCACTACTGTAAGACAGAGGTAGAGACTGAGGGTAAAGATAGTGGAGGGGGTCAGTTGAGTTAAAAATTGCTTTGTATCATTACCATCATGTACAACGCACAAGTCTTAGAAAATAGAATGAAATCCACAGGAAATAACGACTGACAATAACCAATAAAGCCTTTTTGCATAGCTGCTTCACTTGCATTTTTTGCTAACGATCATCAAATATTTTTTCCTTCTTTTCCCAGTTTTCATTAATTAGCTAACAAGATTTTGCACTTAAACTGCAATGCCCAATGATATGGTATCTTTGAAAAAAAATGCAGACACAACAGGTCCAACAAATCCACTTAATTAGTGTAAGTTTCAAGAGTCTGTTCCCTGTTTGTTTGTTTTTTTACAACAGAGAAATTAATGAAAAATAAGGGCTGCAAAAATCTAAAATCAGCATTGTTTGGTTAACTGTGTTGTAAGATATATGTGATTTTAGTGAATTAGCTATAAAAAAAAAAAAAGCAAAGCCACTGTTATGGTCCTTAACATCTCTATGTGAAACTCCAATTTTACATTTTTGCACTTTGAGTAAATGACAACACAAATGTACAAGAAGCAGAGCAGAGAAATTGGTTGCTACTAGCAGTCAATAAGACTAGAAAACTGTTGAATTTGTTTTTGCACTTTATATTTTAAGCAGTTCTTTCTTCCACTGAAAGACTAGTGTGAACTCCTTTTCTAGTTTTAAAACTGCACAGAAACATGTGACTCATCTATTTTTTTGAGTGCACTTTGACCTTACTTTGGGTAAGTGTTCTATATAAGTGTGAATATCTACAGCAGAGTTGAAGCATTTTTACAGTACTTTGATGTATTTTGATATTCTTTCCACTTCTGTTAAAAGTGAGACACAAAACGAGACACTGGCTACTTCTGCATGTTTGCAACTTCGTGTCCTCACGTGCCTCCTCGCCTGCGAAAAGTGTGCTAGGGCACGTTGGGCCTCTCTAAAGGTATCAAGTGACTGATGAATGATGTTGGATTTGGAAAGT